TTGAATATTGTATAAAATAATTGAATCATAGTTAACAAGAAGTGTCGAGGAATCTTTTCGAGATGTTTCCTATACTTTTTGAATGATTCTTCACATTTAGATGCTACAAATTATTTGATTGATAATTGGAATAAAAGATTTCGCGAACCAATCAATTGTTCATATGTCTATTTTTCAGAGAGATACGCGCAGAGCTCTGGTTATTCGAGAAAATTGAGTTTTTGAATTTTATCAAGATTATATTCAAAAATAAGATTTTTCGAAAACCTAGAGTTCTGTAATAGTCTTTGGAAAATAGACAATAGAAATTCTATAACTACGTCAAACATCAACTAACAGTTTTCGGAAAGTTACAAAGATTACGAGAATAAAAACAAACTCAAATTTTTCAAAAATTGCTTGAAATATTTATAAAGGCTGTAGAAAATGTGATGATCATTTTTACTGGGTGCCTCAAGAGTACACTGCTAAATGATCGACTCTCATATATCCTTCTTGGGTTTCAAGGATGCTCTTTCTTGTTTCTGAGCAAATTTTCTTTTCTAATTGTTGTATGAAAATATGGTGTAGAATGCATCCGATGATTAATCTCATTAGTTATCCAAATCACTATCTAGATTTGACATATATGCATGATGTAATAGAAAAGAATCAAAAATACTTTGTTCTAACAGTGTTGCGCGGTATTGTAACAATACATCACTGAACATCGTATTGAATGAGTCTAACTATCACTTGGCACAAGTTCAAGTGATGGTTAACTGATATTGAGTTCAACAATGATTATTTAAATCATCGTAGATCTCAACGATAGATTGGACGATTACGATAAAGAGAATATTAATCCATTTTGATTGAAATTTAGATTTCTATTAGAAATCATATGATCTCTTTATAAGCTAATTGTGCTTTTTTTCATTTTTAGTTAACTGTTCGTTCAATGAATGATTTCTGTTCCATATTGCATAGTGCTCGTCAACTTCGTTCACTTTGTATACGTGTTTTAGACACAACTATTAATCATCAAAATCCATTGACAATAATAAAACCTTCTCAATATCTAAAACATCTTTTATTTATATGTTTACATTCAATTTCTTATGAAATTTTTAAAAATATATTTAAAACACTAACATCTATTGAAAAATTAAGTTTTTCATTAGTTTTCGATATACAATCAGGTATTATTGATGGTAATCGTTTACGTGATGATATATTTATATATTTACCAAATTTAATTAATTTACAATTTGAAATCAAATCATTATTATCATTTATATCAAATCATATAATAGAATCATTTGAAACATCATTTTGGTCACGTTTTTTACCAATAGGTTTTCATTCATATAATCATATATATACATTACCATTTCCATTTCATCATCTTGATATTGATCAAACAATATTAAAATGTCAACAAACAAGAAAATCAAATCGTAATTGGCGTTTTGTACATGATATTGATTTATATGATCGTATACCATATACAAATGAATTTTTAAATTATCTTCGTAATGAATTTACATGTTTAAAAATATTAACATTAAAATGGAAATTTGATTTAATGATATCTATACCATCATTATCAACATGGTTTAATTTACCAACTGTTCGTCGTTTAATAATTAAATCAACTTCATTACAAAATCCTCAAATAATTAAAGAATTTTTACTTTGTTTACCTAATTGTGATACATTAGATTGTGATTATGTTCTTATAGCACGAATAACATCATATTTTCGTCGTGAACATATATTAAACGAATTTGGAAAACAATTACGTTTATTAATTGTTGATGAACTTCCGTCCGATTGGAAAATTGAAAAGAAAAGAAGAAATAATGTTTATTTTCATAGATTTCGATATTTTTTTCCTAATATTGAATGTCCTCTGTATAATTAAATAAATTTATCTATGGTATTAGCCGCCTCTGTATCATATGTAATCATAATCTTATTGAAGAAAATAAATAAATGATTATTGATAGGAACTTTTTTCTATGTTATTCAAAGACAAAAAGAAAATTTGTTGATCTTGATACTTGTTCACATTTTCTCAGTCTGCTGTCAATATATATTTTGATTTTTACATATCCAATTGTTTTATTACTAAGATAGAAATCATAGGTTTGACTGGAAATTAAGCTCATCCTTTCATCAAGAATAATTGATAGCCAGCATTTCGCTAATTTGGGATGATATCTACGGTTTATATTTATGGTAAATATTCAGAACGAGTGAACTTAAGGAATGACAATCGATACAAAACTCACGAATCATAGATGGTCGAAAGGACCAACCAAATGTTCGGCAACTTTTTTTTAATATATAAACTTGGTTTTCAATAAAGTTTGAATAATTCAAATATTTTATAACAATTATATATTATTGTTCATCCAGGACATGAAGGATTATTCTTACAAGGTTTAAAAAAAAAGCAATTATTATAGAATGAATATTTGATTGAGTATAGAAATAAGTTCAGTCTCTGTTCATGATTAACGTGATCTGATTGAAATAGAAGAGGAAGGTCATATTATTCTGAATTTTTTTTTCTTTCTAAATCATGAATAAAAATAATAGTATTCATTAGAAATATGATCATGATAATCATAGAGTGAATGTATTGATATGAGTACGATGCACATCATATGAACATCGAGTATAATCATCATTAGAGTGAGAAGATGAACAATGGTTAGCTGAGAAAGGTTTATGAGAAAAAAAAATGAAGTAAAATCATGATTAAAAATAGATATGAAATAATGAATTGTTGATATCCAAAAAATATAAATTATCAATTCAGAAATCATTTAAATCAACTTTCATAACTTAATCCAACAAAAATCTACCTTTTTCATAATTGAATTATGGAGACATACGATTTGTGACTGTTCGAAACACTTTCTCATTAACATTTGATATTTTGTCTATCAAAATGGATGTTCAATCAATAGAGTTGTTATTTTACTTAAATAATTACTGTTTCTTCATACTATGAATTTCTCATGAATTATAAAGTTAGAAAGTGATATGCAATTATATGCAGGCCTAAACATACGGTTCAGATGAAATTTCACATATCATTTTATATGTATTATTGTTACAAAAGTTCAGATAGAGTTTTGAAAAAATATCAGTCAATCATACATTTCTAGAATGTTTGATCTAAATTATCGCTTGATCATTATAAGATTATCTTCAAGATTGTCTGAGGATTGTATGGCGTATGCGGAGAGCTAAATACAAATAATCTATAACAAATATCTCACATCTTCCGAGCAACTATCAGATTCGAACTAAAAGATTTCATTGAAATTAGAAGTACTGTCCATTTCCAAAAAATCTTGGATTTGACAGACCTCATTGAGTACTTGAATCTTTTTTCTGTCGAATTTCTAAATAGAGAGAAAGGTTTTTGCTAACTGCTTCATAAAAGTAAGACTTATTTTGTTAATTCATAAGAATACAATGTGATTTTGTGTGTTTTTCTGGGTGGGATTTGCGGCTCTAATTTATAAACAATTTAATTAATAGAAAAATAAAATTACCAAAGGCAAACGACGTCATTGGCATGTCAGAATATACTTGAAAAAAGAAAGAAGATTTTAAGTTGTTTCATCGAATGGAGAAGTTACAGTGGATGTGAGTCTTTAGTTTATGCATACCTTCATTTCGCTATGTAGTTTTTTTTTAATGTTTGAGTGTTGTATTTCTTTATTGGACTCAGCAATGCATAGTAGCAATTGCTATCATTGTTAAAAGTCAAAAGAAAAACTTAAAAAAATCAAAGTTTTTAGAAAAAGTATTATTTTCTTCAGTACGTGTCCACAAAAACTCGATTCAATAGCCTTAAGTTTCATCATAAAATCAATAAACTATAGTCCATTTGGAAGTAAATAGTTTGCTTTATCGAACGAACTATATGTTACGATGTTAATAAGTTGGGTCGAAATTAACTTTTTATGAGGGACCATTAAGCTTTTTTTATTATTCTATAAAAAAAGCACTTCTATAAATACGTGACTATTTTTTAAGTTGTTCGTGTTAGTGATTGTGGCATTTTTTCCTTCCGAATAAGAAGTAAGAATTCAAAAAAAAAAATCAGTATCAGGGATTTAGTATACTTTTAGATTAAAAAAGTTAAATGTATAGAATGAAAGATCACAAAGATTTTCGATTTACTAAATGAGCTATATTTGATCCTTGTTTGTTAAATATCTCCCGAAAATATTATGATATAGAGCTGAAAATTTCATACAATTTCAAGGTATCTAGCCTAAGATCGATTTTCAAGGGGTGTGATGCCTTGATAAAGATTTGACGTTGTTTAAAAATGATTACTTTTTCGTAATCATAAATATATTGTCATATATGACAGGTACATCCAAATAGTCAAAAATAATGTCAAATAACAATTTTCAGCTAGAGAAGTGGCAAATCACAAACTCTTTTCGTTTTTGATCTTTTGCAAACGAAAAAACTCACATATATTATAGATTGAAGGAATAATAATTACTTTATTCGTTATTCAAACATTCATGATTGCCTTATACATCTCTAAGATCATACAAATTTGGGTGCATATGCAATAATCTTTTATACATCGATGATTAATACCTCGGGCAAAACATATACAATTACGATCGAAGGTTAAAATGATAAGTATTTATATTTGTTTTTTGTTTGTGCTTGTTTGACTCGAATGTGTTTTGCGATCAAGTAATTTTATCGTTATCAAAAAGCTAATACATGAAATTGGCAGCGTTTTTATTCATTCCATGAATCAATATGACGCATCGATTTCGTTCTTTTTTTTTCTAGAAGCTGCACCATTCTTCATATATAAATAAATGTATATATTGTATTTCTCTCATTTATAATAGTGTGTGCTCATGTCCACGTACTTATTTATATTTATTATAACCTTTGACATTTAACTAAAGCATGATTGTTGTTAATTATTTTCTTGCAGATCCATTTAAAAAAATAAACACATGGCTAATATTCGTATATTTGTCTTTTTATTGGTTTTATTGATTATCGTCAATTGTGCATTAACTCAAGCACGAGATGTTAATAGTTTTTCTCATCGTGAAAAAAGGTATTGTTATCATTTCATAATAAAGATTGTATTTCAAAATTGATTAATTTAGATTATTTGCTTGCGCTGCAATTGGCAAAAGGTGTTCAGGTGTTTTTGGTAAATCGTGTTGTGGTGGTTTAGTATGTCATAGAACATGGGGAAAATGTGTACGTAAAGGTTCAGCAACCTCGTGGCTCGGCGATCGAAATGGAAAATAAACTGAAGAATTGATATGAAATTTTGTTTTTTTTTTCTGAGTTAATGTAAACAAATCAATAAATAAAGATTTATACTGAAAATGAATGTCCAATGCATCTATAAAGTAAAGCAAGAAATTGATCCATATTGCCATTTGTACGACAAAGGAAGTTGGAATAAAATAAAAAAACAAATTAAAGTCACCTCTTCATATTTGTTTTACGACATGTCCATTTCTTTTTAGATTTAGCGAATGTTTGAAACTCATGATAAATTAAAAAAGAATAAGTTTGCATAAGTCTACGAGCGATAATGCTTAAAGCGCATTGTATTTCATGGCTATTTAAAGAAAAAGTTTGTATTCATTTGCTCAGTCGTTTTGCCTCAGTAAAATATTAGTTTTAAAATAGTCGTTAGTTTGGAAAATCCAGTCATTATCTTAAAAGGGCTCAATATTTAAGGATGTGAGTGTCGACCTTTCTGTAGAGCTCGGCAATTCCAAAAATTACTCGAAACCGTTAATTTGCGAGATAGATACGACAATTTTAAATATATTATGAGAAAATTTCACTATTGAATGTTAAAGATTAAAGACCTGATAATATTTCCATATTTAAGAGAACAATATTATACATGTATACTGAAATCTTTAGTCTCAAGAATGAAACAACGAGTATTGCTCGACATAGATTTAAGAATTTTGTATCTATCTGATTATTTAACGACTTCAATGTGTTTTTCTTCTCTGACGCCAGTATTCATTCCCGTTCTGTTCTTGATTCGATTTTTTGGGGATCATAGCACACCATCTTTCAGACAGTAGCATCCACAGCCTGATGAAATATTTTGTAACTTTTCCATTACTCAAAGAATCGATTTTAAATTCATGAAATCTACTTAAGTGAGTTGCTCTTGTAATCCGATATAATATGTCTTTTTCTTTCAATTAATTTATTTAAAAAGAAAGTGTTCTTAAATCTAGTTGTTACTGCAAACATGAATCTGTTCAATAGGTTATTTTTCATAGGCAAAGTTCCTAAAGTTTCTCTTCTACAAAACTCTAAAATACTTTCAATAATGAAGGTGAGATGTCCGAAAGGTGATAGGAAGATGTTTGCCGCTGGATTTTTGAGTACCTATTCTTGAATATCTATATCATCTTGTTGTCATATTTTATTCATTTATATAAACCTGTTTTCTTTTGTAACATAAAAATTATGATAACGTCCTATTTTATTTTCTTTATATGATATGTTATCATTTCGAATCTACAATATCTCTTCTTTTTTATTCTTTCATTCTTCTTGACTAACAGTTATAAAAGTAACATAGCGTTTTTTTTCAAGTATCAGTAAAGAGTAAAACAATGATAATGATGATAAACTAAATTAATTTAATTGAGTAATATAATTTTAATTCAAAGAAAATAGATAAAATGGATGTGGGTGTGGGTGTGAGCATGAGTTAATCCTGTCCTAAACAACATTCAGTTCCATACTCACACACCCACATCCACACCCTTTACGACATTGTTTCTTTCAGTTTTTCTACGGCCAATTTGCAGTACAAATCACAACGATATGTGAATGTAATAATATATTTGTATTGAAGTGAAGATAAATTTATAAGATAGAATAAAATGAAAAAGTAATTTAAAAAAATTATCCAAGAAAATGTCACTCCATGCTGTCAGTGGCAGTTATTATAATTATCTGCAGCAATATGTATGTTGTTAGTGATAATAAAAGTTTTTTAGACAAAAATATGAATGCTTTCGTAAAGGGCAAAGTTCATTTTAAGTTAGTTCCAAAAGGCACCATCATTTCCATCAAGATGTTCTAATCATTTTCAGTTTTCAACTTCATGAACAACAATACATCTCTGCACTACTTAGAGAACTACCATTTGATCCACCACTAACCAACACAGTTCCATTCACTAATAAAGATATATGCCTAGCTCGTGCGAAATTCATACTAACAGTAGTTGTCCAACGTCCTGTTGTGGGATCATATAACTCAGCACTATTCAGATAGACACTACCTGTATTTCCACCGCTCACTAATACTTTCCCATTCGGTAACAGAGTTGCTCTATGCTGCTGTCGTGCAGTACTCATATTACCAGTAACTGTCCAAGTTTCTGTTACAGGATCATATAGCTCAGCGCTTCTCAGAACACCAGCATTATATCCGCCACTAACTAATACTTTTCCATTGTTTAATACGGACGCTGTATGTTCTTCTCGTCCAGTGCTCATATTACCCGTTGTTGTCCAAGTTCCTGTTGCAGGATCATACAATTCAGCATTTTTTAGATAGATAGAATTAAATCCACCAGTAATTAACACTTTTCCATTTGATAACACGGATGCTGCATGTTTATTTCGTGCAAAATACATATTTTCAGTAGTTGTCCAGATTCTTGTTGCAGGATCATACAATTCGGCACTTTTGAGAGCGATCCCATTAGTTCCACCGGTAACTAACACTTTTCCATTTGTCAATACGGATGCTGCGAAATATCCTCTTGACATATTCATACTTCCTGTAGTCGTCCAAGTTTCCGTTGCAAAATCATACAACTCAGCACTACTTAGAACGCTAACATTGTACCCACCACACGCTAATACATTTCCATTGGTTAATACGGATGCTGTGTGGTGCGTTCTTGCCATATTCATATTACCAGTAGCTGTCCAGTTTCCTGTTGCTGGATCATATAACTCAGCACTACTTAGAGAGCCAGGATTCTTTCCACCAGTAACTAACACTTTTCCATTTAACAATGCTGATGCTGTATGCGATTCTCTTGCTGTATTCATACTGCCAGTCATCAACCATACTAGAGAAAGACATTCAAATTTATCAATATTATGGTTTTTATTCAAGTTAAATATTGATGAGTCATAACACAAGATTATCTTGGTTTCTACAGTTGAATACAAAGTATCTGAAGAATTTTAAAACCTAGAATCAGTTTTGAAATGTAGCTTACAAGATCTTTGTCACTCTTGCGATTTTGGAAAAACAATCGTTGAAACAACACAGAGTTCATATAAAAAAAATTGAAACGCGAACTTAAAATTGAAATCTAATCTGTTGATCATATTATAATGGTGAACAACCATATTGTGATCGAGAAAAACAGTTTTCAAAAAGATTTAACTCTTAGTTTGCGTTTAATTGTGACACTCAAATTTTGCACGAGTTCCTTCCGTTAAAATCAACAATAGAGCTTTTAGCTTTACGTACTTTTTCATTTTTGATCTCTTTCCTGTCAGAAAAATCTCCGATTATTGTTGACTCTTCGCTCCTCGTTTTGTTGAATGTCCTTATGGATGGGCTCTTACTATATCATTTAGAACTAAAAGAAACGGTCCCACCATATTTATGCATTTCTTCTTCTATGTCGATGATTTGAGATCGTTGAAATAAGTAGATTTCACTGGAATCAACCGAGAAAATGCCGAAAAATCATCATATTCGGTAGCAAAGCAGCTGAAAACGATAGTGTTTGTAAGCATTATTTCAGTTCGGAAGCTTTTCAGATTTTTCGATGACTTTTAGCCAACTTCTTGCTCTGCTCGATCGAAAGCGAACGGAGATCACTGGAAAAACCTACAGACTTGCTAGCTTAGAGTGCTACCTCCAAATCCCATCAATATTGAGTGTTTGTTCTAAAAGTCGTTTCGCACTTACGATTATTCCTGTTAATAAATATGTCAGTATTTGACCGTTTATATCTGTAAAGATGTCTTAATCAAATTATTTATGATCGTTTATGGTGCGAATATGAGAACCGTAACACATTACTAGGGTATTCTTAGCGTAAGGTTTGTTCAGATCAAATATACTTATTCAATAGCTCAATAATATTGAAGACTTCAAAGTTCCCCTTTTTTCTACCAGATCATGGCAGACACAATGAAAGAAGCTCTCTAGCGCCACAGATCGTTGTCGAGTTTTTGTCATGATACGCCTTTCAGCTTGTAACCTGCCATGATTAGCATTATTTAAGAACTCTCACATACAAGTGACATCAACATGTTCCACATGATAGTATAGTAGAGATTAAGCAAAAGTTTTTGCTTCAACAGGTACTTTTTAGCTAGTCTAAGGATTAAATATTGGAAATCATGATGACGGATTACAAGAAAGAAAACGAACATGAGGCATGGATACTCACTTTATTTCTGTTCTCATACATCACAAGTTGTGCATGTCGCTCATAGTGCATATGCTCAAAAAGTCGAGGAAAAAGCACCGAGATCTTTTGTTCGCTTCAATGCAAATAAGTATGAACCTAGTTGAGTCAAAAGCTGAAAACTTGTAGAACAATTGAAGTCATCTACACTCGAGATACTTGTAAGAATCCCACTTTCGAATAAAAGCGACAGTTCCACTCGATGACTAACTATTACAAATGATTTTAAGACTTACTAATTGTTGTAGTTGTTGTAGTTGTTGCATTTGTTGTATTTGTGTTTGTTGCTTGGGTATTGATTGTTGAAGTGACGGTAACCACCTCTGTAGTTATGTCTGCTCAAATGAGAAAAAAGAGCAAGTAAAGACAGAAGTAAATATACAAGTACATAATAATTGAAAATATGATTAAACTCAGATTTCTGCTTTGGCTCCAAATACGTATTATTTTTTTTTTTGAAGAAAAATGGAAATTATTATGACTGAAATCCGTTCAATATATGCAAAAAAGTCACAAATTAAGCAACAAGAATAATGGCCGTAGACTTTTATTTCGGAGTTAACCGTTCTAGACTTTGAAAAATAGCTAGTTTTGTAGCACTTGGAATGCTTTATAAAACGAGAAGTGAATGGAATTGGACGAATGTCTCATTCATACAGTAATTGAACAACAAATTTAATACGCATGCATAATATCAGTTCAAAATGCAAGTGAGGAAAGATTCATGCATGAAATTTTCCTTGAAACGATTCTATCAGAATAATTTTTAAGCACATGTCAATTCTATTTGTTTTTCTTCCAAATGAGCGCCCATATTGTTGGCTATTATTAATAGACAAGTGTCCATTCGATATATGGCAATGCTAAACTCCGTTTATAGCAGGGATGCCCATGGTGGCTGGAAATCTGCCGCTACCAGTTCGTGATCTTAGCTGGACTAAGGCTGTCGCTATGAACATCTCTGATTTACGCCTTTAATTGACAATGTCTCAAATTTGCCATCAAAAAGATTACGAGATTATGATCTTTTATTCTACGTATTGTTTAGTTAAGCTTGATCTTAATCATTAGAAGGGGTCAAAATATCTTCTTTTGCGACTCAACTCTTTGCAATCAAAGTATTCATTTACTTTTTAGGTTTAATAAAACTTAATTTTTCGATTGACATTTCATCAAAAAAATCATAAAAACTCTCACTCTGTTGTCTAAAGTAGTTACCCTTGACTGTTGCTCTATACTTACTCGTTATACTATCAGTTGAAGTTAACCAAAGTGAAATAATCACAGATAAGATTAAGCCACCAATAAGAACACCTAAGAGTAAACCTTTAAGACAAGTGGGTTTTGATGAAAAAATTCGCCAGAAATATATTGGTAAACGGTATCTAAAGATAATGCTATTATATTTATTGTTAGAGTCAATTATTATAATTGGATACCTTCGCGTTTTAGATTGAGTTGATTCCTCATTTCTTACATGATCAAACCATTGATTATTGTTCAATGCAGAATTCTTGTGATGACCTTTGCCATCTCTATTTTGATGTTGAGAGACATTTGATTTTTCGATTGACCAAACACTTAATGACGGATGTGGTGATTTGAAGTTTGCCATTGCTATTCAAGCTCATGTGATTTAAAAAAAAGAAGAAAAAAGTAGTTCATGTATTTATTCGTCTCAATTATATTTATTTTTTACGACTTTCATATAAAAGTAAATGCAGTAAAATTCGAATAAAATCGAAAACCGCTCATCGTATGAGATCGAAAACGATGCTAATACTCTAGTAAGATGTTGAAACTCTACAAATTACCAAAATACTCTGAATTTTCCAATGAATTTCAGAAGAGTACTGAAACAACATAAATGTTCTACAAACTTCTAGGAAAGAAACTGAATAATGAAAACATGATCGACCCAGAAATTTTTTGAAAGAATTTTGCCGATACTCCAAAAACATATTCTTAAAATTAAAAAATGAATAAAAAATTAATGCTTTTCTTCAAAAACCCTTTATATTTTGCACTAAAAGGCAAAAAAAACAAGATTTTTGAATGAAAGACTGTGGATCTTCTAAATGAAAGTTGTGTAACATAAGACTCAATAGCAAAAATACCTCAGGTAAGCGTCACACAAGTTTTGTAAGAAAATGTACCGACTTTTTCATAAAAAAATCTTGTTTTATTTGATTTTCAAGTGTAAAACATTACATTTGTTTAAATTAAAAAAAATTATTTCTCATTCACTCATTTTTTTAATTTTATTTAAAAATTATTTCTTTTGTCATAAATAAGAGAGAGAAAACACAATTCAAAACAATATGTATTCTATGATCAACCCTTATAAAAGAAATTCAGGCGCAATTGAAATTGAAGATCGAACATTTCTTGTTTATTTTTTATGCTGTCAGAGCATTAGCATTCAAATTGAATTTGCCATGCTATATGATGGTTCAGATGCAAGTAAGGATTGTGAGTGTATGTATACGCCTAGATTTCGACAATGGCTTCTGGTAGCGCTTGTTAGTACCGGTGTGAGTACGGACTTTGGGTGTAAGTGTAGAAGTGAATGCACGTAGAGATTTTGAGTGTTGAAATTGGTTTGGATGTGGGTGTTGGCGTCCATGTGGAGTGTGGTTTCGTTGCTTGACTTCGGGGTGTACAGTATAACAGGAGGGTTTTGGCATCATCTTGAAGTGTGTATTAGTTTTGTGTGTCGGTGTACGCATGAGTGTTGCCTTGGGCATGTCAATGTAGATGTGTACGTTGGTGTAACGTGCAACTGTGCTCGTAAATCATGAGTCTCACTCTGGAGTATCGGTCTGCAATGTGTGCGTAGGAAAGAATTTCAGTGAAAGCGTGTGCGTCAGTTATGAAATAAGAGCATTTTATATGGGTGCATTGGTGTTGTTGGTGCATAGAAATTGATATGATCGAATAGAAGATTCATTTTTGCATACAGTCACACATACATTGATAAGCATACTCATGAGTATAAGCCAACTCATAACTATATCGCACATTCACATTGATCGACATCTACGTCGTAGGCAAAAACCGGAGATCAAGAGCAATTGCTTCTAATTATTGTAGCTATCGACATAAATTTTTGTGTAGATGTGGTCAGCAGCCAGCGTCGACTATCTACGCTTGTCTACTCTACATTAATGATAACATTTCAAAGAAATGAACCTGTGAATATCAAAAAACCCGATAGTTAGAGCAACAAAAAATAGTTATATCATTATAATCTTTTTAAAAAACAGCGAACCGATAAATTTTCGTAATAGAATTGATATAGTGATACTAACTATAAAGTACATAAATTTGGTGGTAGCTAGTTGTTCTTTAAGAGGCTGAAGCAGATTGCTATCAATGGATTGTTTGCAAGTTTAGAGTTCTAAGTAACAAATAATAACTGAGCTCAAAATAGTGTTTATCTTCAATTTTACATTAGATATACATTGTAATATGTTTATCATTTAGGTGTAAAATCTTTAAAGAAAAATGGATTGTTGCAAAAACGTTAAATAAATATATAATTGTATGTTTAAACATCACCACAAAGCAGTTCTACTTCGATATTTTATTACTGCAAAAAAAAATCCTGTTAATACATAATTATAGAAAAATTGTTAACCGATCTATTAATACAAAATAGATTAATGAAATTTTTTGTCCATAAACCAGGGTCACATAAAATTTTTGTTTTTACTTTTTGATAGAAACGAAAATATTTTGAGAATGTATAAATAGGAAATGAAAAAAAAATAATCAAATCTTTAAGCAGAAACCCACCGAAGTGAATCCATCAAATCTAAATTTTTTAGTCTGAAGCATGCTTCATTATGCCGCATGAATGAGTGAACTGTTGTTGTGAAGTTTTTTTTACAACAAAATGAAACGAGAGAAATATACCACAGTTGACTATTTCTCGACTTCTAGAAAATTTTCCTTGAAATATTCGACAAAATCCTTTTTAAATGCTCTGTAATATACTTTTGGAATCCCATTACTATGAGTTTGCAAACATTTTCATATTTTTCAACTTCCTACAACGTTCAATAGTTCTTTCTTTGAAAATTATTCATTACTCGACTATTAGCAGCCTGTGACATAACTTAGAAAGACAATACAATTAGTACTGTTTTACAAACGGGAAAACAATCAAATACCAAACTCATCACTTTATAGTGTATGATGAGAACTATGCTTAACTTTGTTGTACTATTCATTCATAATAGTTCAAAAGCTGATTTTTGGAATGAAGGAGTCAATCTGAAACTTGAAAAAAAGAGTATGCTTGTTACTTATTTATCTATGTGAAGTTCTCCGACCCATGGTTAACAAACATTCAGCAAATTCTTTCATAGCACATTACTGCTTTCAAATGTTTATTTTATATGAAAAAGTATGATATTTAGTTTATTTTCTTCAAACAGCAACAAAAAAAAGCAGGTCATTTAGAATTCAGCTGAAATCTGTCTGCTTCTAAAATTTGGTCAATTTCGCTAAATATACGTTTGCTTATTATTGATGACGTTAGAATAGTACGCAGTGTTATCTTTTGTTGTTTGTTCTCAAACACAATAAATTGCTCGTTTATGATCGAACCGATTTTTACTACTGTGCTTTTACCTTAATTAACAATTTGAAAAAGTAAAATTATTTTGATATGTTGACATGTCATTGATTGCCGGCTTGGCTACCGGATACTCGACCAGGGTTATGATCACTATTATTAACGAAACGGCTTAATCAAAGGTTAGATTTAGAGCAATATATATTTCAGCAAGGATTTACATGTGCATTGAGAAAAGATAGATGATAATACGCTCTATCAAATAATACATTATAACTTTAGTATAAGTCTTAGTGCGATCGTGCAAAAATATCATATTATTCAATAGTAATCATTTTTTTTTGTTATGCTAAGCATAATTTTTTTCTCTTATTGACACATAAACAATTTGAAGAAATCCCCAAGGCCCATAAGACATAGAAAAAAAAACTAACATTACATAACTATATAACGACAGTTGGTTATAATTACATCGTCAATTGAAAACAGACGTTTTTTTTTATTTAATACTCTTGGAAATTCTCATATAGCTTTGCTACTTGATAGTCAATAGTTTATGACACATACTTGTTTTCTAACAGAACTCGAACTACAGTTAAACGCAGTAGCATCGTAGCTTGAATGCTAGTTATGATTTCAATCCAAATTTCGGAAATCAATTTTGTTGTCTAGCTGCCTACTGTAATTACACATTTGGTTTATATAATCCATTCTTTGAATGATCAACAATAAGAAATAAATGATCTCCTGGATGTACAATTATATATTCAATATACAAACAATAAACATAGAGACTTCATATGGTTATAGAAAAACTATTTCGCAGTCAGTTTTTAATCTGACATCTAGCGTTGAAAAAATTACTTGTAAACTAATCGAAACGTACAAATTGAATCATGCCAACTAACATATGTTGTGTCTCCTTCTTTCCCATTTCTTTTTTTCTTTAATACATTCGAATAAATTATTCATTTCTATTCAAGCAGAAGAGAAAAAAAACGACATGACGAAACATTACGATCATGATCATTTTTCATCATTAAATAAGGATTATGAAAATGATTATCTTTTTGATTTAAATTTAATTCAACCAATTTTTAAAATTCATTCACTCAAAGATAATAAACTTCATGGAAATATTTATAATGAAAAATATTTAATTCGACCATTATCACTTTCGGATTATGATCATGGTTATATTGAATTACTTGATCAATTAACTGAATGTGGTAAAATAACATATGAAGAATTTAAACAACGTTTTTATCAAATGAAACAATGTTTAAATACATATTATATACTTGTTATTGAAGATATAAATTTAAATAAACAAATTATTGGTACAACAACACTTATTTGTGAAAAAAAATTTATTCGTCAATTAGGTATACGTGGTCGAATTGAAGATGTTGTAATAGATAATCGATATCGTGGACAATATCTTGGAAAATTACTTGTTGATTTATTAACAAAATTTGCTAATATTATATGTAATTGTTATAAAATATCATTAGAATGTAAAGATCATTTGATTAGTTTCTATCAACAATTAGGTTATGATCATGAAGAGAAACAAAATTATTTATGTCAACGTTTTCAAAAGTCATCAACAAAAAATGAATAATGCAAGGAAACTTCTTTTTTTCTTTTTCTTTGTATTTGCATCGATGTCGTTTAAAATAAATTAACTCAACAATATACTTAAACATGAACAACATCATAGGCCGACTAGACATATGCCTCTCGTGGATCGAGTACTTCAGCATTTATTTTGAAAACTTCTATTTCAATGTTATATAACGAAGCTGAAAAGGAAGTTTTGTTGAAAAAAAAGATCTTGAACGTGCTCCATTATTGATATATCACAAATATTATAGAACCATTGGGACATATAACTATTAATAAAAACATTCTTCCTTATAATTAACTAAAAATTATTTTTCACTAGAGATATATGAGCTTTACTCCTTAATAACAAACAAATGCTCAATATATATCTTCTTTTTGAGAGAAAATATAAAGTTTCAAAAATA